GAAGAGCGTGTTCAAAGGCCCAGACACGGCAAACCACAGGACCCATCTGGGGAATGGCGCTGCGGGAACGCTGGGGTTTGGGGAATACCCAGAGGTTATCGTAGAAAAGTGGGTAGGGATCAGATCAACAAAATATGTGCTCTGGACTTCCCTGGTGGCGCAGTGGTTGAGTCTGCCTGCCGATGCAGGGGACACGGGTTCGTGCCCCAGTCAGGGAAGATCCCACATGCCGCGGAGCGGCTGGGCCCGTGAGCCACGGCCGCTGAGCCTGCGCGCCCGGAGCCTGTGCTCCACAATGGGAGAGGCCACAACAGTGAGAGGCCCCCGGACCGCCAAAAAAAAAAAAAAAAAAAAAAAAAAAGTCCTCTGAAATTAATTCTGAAAGCCACAGACAGCGAATGTATAATGTCAATCAGGGGACTGGGGAGTTCACTTCGGTGAATTTCTTGAAACAGATCCAAGCCAGGTAAGAGGTGTTTAAAATAATTGAGGCCAAAGGTGCTGACAGGCCAGATTCAAGAAATGGCCATAGAGAACACACTGGAGAACTCGAATTGACCAGACTTCATCACTAATTGGATACGGGTAGGAAGGGAGAAGTGAACAATTGCCAACTTTCTGATTTGGGACTTGGAGGATGCAGACAATGGTATGACCAGTCTCTGAGATGGGAAAGATAGGAAAAGGGGCAAAGTTGTCTGTGAAGACAATGAGTCTGGTGAATAATCCAAGGACCCCCAAATGGAGGTGTTTGGACCTCCTGCTCAGGAAAGAAGCCCATCTGGGGAAATAGATGTGAGAGTCATTATTCTAACAGTGGTCGGTAAGCCATGGGTTCGTGCCCAGAGAGAGAAGAGCAAAGACTGAAGAGAATTAACGATGTGGTTCCCATCCCCCCACATGTGAACAGGGAGAGCAATGTTCTCTTATGACAATCCAGTGAGATCGTATTTTTTTACTCATAGTATAAAGCTCAGAACACAGAAGAATCTCTCTACGTGTGGCTTTCCCTTCTCATAAACCATTTGGTTGACATCACTTTCTTAAGACAGCTCTATAATTTCACTTCTCTTTGCATGTTGAAATGTTACTTGGATTAACGATCAGTGAGGGTACATGGAGGTGCCCCAGCAGTTTCCTGAAACGGCCTTTTCCAGTGGCCGACGCTCATTTTTGAGTTCTTCAGTTTGGTGGTGGGCAAAAATAAGATAATAAATCATGTATCTAATAATTCCACCAACTTGAGTTTACATTATATTCAGATGACTATAACAACGGTTAATAGGATTTTGGATTGAAATTTTAACATCTGACCTTCCTACCTTGTTATGCTTCAAAGTTACAGAATGAATGGAGCCTCAGATATGGTAATAATAACCATCATCATTGCTCTGCCCTTAAATGAATCCCCTGGATGTGTCGTTTGGAGAGTTGTCAACATGTTACTAAGAACTCAGGAGAGTGGCACTTACCATGCTGCCCTTGTTTGCACCTTGTTCTTTTTTTTTTTTTTTTTTTTTGCGGTACGCGGGTCTCTCACTGTTGTGGCCTCTCCCGTTGCGGAGCGCAGGCTCCGGACGCACAGGCTCAGCAGCCATGGCTCACGGGCCCAGCCGCTCCGCGGCATGTGGGATCTTCCCGGACCGGGGCACGAACCCGTGTCCCCTGCATCGGCAGGCAGACTCTCAACCGCTGTGCCACCAGGGAAGCCCTGAACCTTGTTCTTATAAATAAGATACAGAATGTTTCCAGTTTTAGGGAAGAACTGAATCAAACGGTTCCAGAAATTGGTCAAGCTTCTACTGTCAGAAACCCCGGCTATTCTCACCTGCTGTGTCTCCTACCTGTTCCCTTCTGTCACGAGTGGCTTCTCGGGGTGAGTGGTGGAGACCATGGGCATGGCTGCGTCCCCTTCTCCTTCGTGCAGCAGTGGAAAGGCATCTTCTTCAGCTGGGTCAACTGACTTCTTCCTATTCCCATGATGTGATCCCCCATCAATCAAGTTCCCAAAGTTACCTGAAGAGCCAGTAGCAAGGGGAGAAGGGCCAGGTGTCAATAAGCAGAATCAGGCTGCTTGGCAGAAAGGATCCAAGTTTATGTCTTCCCAGGACAGGGAAATAAGCTCTCAGTATGAAGGTAGAGTGATGGGCAGACCAAAGAAATAAGATTAACAATGATACTAAGCCATCATCAACATATATCTTAGGTTCTTTTTTGTAAAAATTACTTAAGTTACAAATTAACTGGATTCCATCTCCATTTCCTTCTGCTCCACTGATGGAGAACTCCCCAAATATAAATCAAGACCTTCTCTGATGGAATGCTCTTTCTTGGAGTGGTTTTCCCAGATGTACATCAGTCCAGGAAGATTGCTGGGAGTTATAATAACAGCACCTATCATATGTGTGGCATGTTGCATGCATTAACTCATTAAACCCTGCAACAGCTCCATGAGGAGTTATCATTATCCCCATTTTATGGACGAAGAAACTGAGACCCAGAGAAATTAAGTGAGCCTAGGGTAAGGGGACCAGAATTAGTAGTCCAAGTCTGTCTGAATGCAAATTATATTCTTAATCCTTTTTTTTTACGTATGAAAATAAATCTACCCCTTACATATTGACACCAGAGTGGACAAGGATTTATTCATTTCTTCCTGAGGTGCAAACCTCCAGCAGAGTGCTACCATCTTCACGTAACACACTAATTCATTTATTTAAGAGGTAGGTATAAAGTTCATGCCATGTGCCAGGCACCATGCTTGTCTGCACTTACCAATAGAAACTTCAAAGCTAATGGGTTTATCTCCAATCCTCCGGTCAATCATGGTAGCTTCAAAAAATGCTCCAAAGAGTAAAAATTCCTCTTGTTTTTCCGGTACAATCTATAGAAAGAAAAAAATACATTAGACAGGGCTGGCTCTTTTTCTAGCAGGAGGAAGCTGAATTAGTGATGCCAACCCGGTCCAAGGTAATTTATAGAAACTTGAGTCTTGGTGTCAGCCTGAAATGGCACATAATTTCCCCTCTAATCAGACTGGCAGAAACCAGGACCTACAAATTGCAAATCCAAATTCAGCCATTTATCTAGAATGATGTAGTCTCCACCTTCTGAACTTCAACCTTACAATCAAATTTCCTTTTATTTTAAAGGTAAGCTTGGTATACGTATTTTTCTAAGAGGTTGATTGTTCAAGGAGCATGTGTAGCTGGGACACCACATGACACAGCATCACATTTCTGAGCAAAGAGGCTGAATGATTTGGATTTCTAGTCTGTTCTTTCTGGTTTTACCCTTGGACTTATTAAACTCAATAGAAAAAGCAACACGGTTCATTTAAGGAAATAAAGCAGTCGTGGCTTCATAGATTAAGAGCTCCCTTCAATCAAGAGCCCTGACCTCTGTTCCTCTCTCTTTTTTGAGACCCTTCCTTCACACACGAGCCTCCTGTGCTGTTTCTGCTCATCTTGCTTACTCAGACACCCAGGTTGCTGGAAGTTTCATCTTAAAAATTTTTCCGTCATTGAGACAGAAATGTGACAAATCCTGTGCTTGCTCTTAAAGCCCCCCCCCCCCCCCCCCTGCCACCACTGTGTCCCTTGGCTGTAAGCCAGCCCCTTACCGTGCCTTCATGGGGCCAAGTTTACTATCTGGGAGGAGGTTATAAACCACTCAGAGACCTGAAGGGAATGGAGGCCATAGAGCCTGGAAGAGGGACAGCAGGTTCCAAGCCCAGCCAAGCCCCTCTTCAAATCCCAACTCCGCTGCTTCCTAGCTGTTGACTTTGGGCAAAGCCATGTCCATTGTCCGGGTGTCATTTGCCTTGTCTGCGAAATGAACATCATAGTAGGACCTACACGGGGAGGAAATGAGGGCATCCATGTGCAATACCTATTATAAAGCCTACTCATATCAATGCTGCAAGTGGCAGTCACCATAAGTATTTCAACTATAATTCATGTCTTAATCCCACCCACCCTTCAAGGTCCAACCCAAATGCCTCTTCTTCGGGAAGCATCCACTGACTCCCTGAGTTAGAAAAATGATGATGGTAATGTTTACAGAACTCTTACTATGTGTCAGATGTGGTATGAAGAATTTTACCTACATTACCTCATGTAATTCTCATAACTATCCTAGGAGGGGGATCTTTCTATTATACCCATTTAAAGATGAAGACACTACAATTCCATGAAAGATTAAGATATCTGTCCAAAGTTACTAAACATGACTAATACTTATTGAGCACTTACTATGTGCCAGGCTCTGTTCTAATAAGCACTTTGTTGTATTAATTCATTAAATCCTCACTGTGAGCCGATGAAGTAGAGGTTATTATTGGAAATAAACCTAAGGAGCTTATGTCACTTGCTCAAAGATTCAAACAGAGGGAATGTTTGTCCAGAGGCTGGGGCAGTAACCACTGCACCATACTGCCACGTCTTAAACCCAGCTGTCTTACTTGGGAGCCCAACATTTTAATCATTATACTGCACTGACTCCAGGAAATAATAGCACTTTCTCTGTCCCTACTTATCACTTTCCACTTCCTGTATATTTATTTTGTATGTCTTATCTCCCTTTCTATAACCATAAATTTCATGGAGTCAGACTCTATTTTTATTCCTTCCAATGTTGAGGATTTAAAAATGAATACAAAGTTTGACCTAAGGGAGAAAAGCTTTGATGGTGGTGATGAGGGTGAGTTTTGAAAGCCAGCAACATGGAATTTCATTTGTCCAGATATACAATGAGAGTAAGGCTGCAGCAAGGGAGATTAGAGGTGGAGGACCCTGGAGAGCTAAAAAAAAGAAGATGCTGGAAAAAAAGGATGTTACCATGTTGGTAAGGGCAAACTCTGAGCTGTTGAGGCTCTGGGAAAGGGAGAAGCCCAGTGTGGTGGTTTTAAAATATGTCCACAAATTCTTGGAAAATCTTCCCCTTAAAAGGTGAAGGCTGGGGCTTCCCTGGTGACGCAGTGGTTGAGAGTCCGCCTGCCGATGCAGGGGACGCGGGTTCGTGCCCCGGTCCGGGAAGATCCCACATGCCGCGGAGCGGCTGGGCCTGTGTGCCATGGCCGCTGAGCATGCGCGTCCAGAGCCTGTGCTCCGCAACGGGAGAGGCCACAACGGTGAGAGGCCAGCGTACCGCCAAAAAAAAAAAAATAATAATCATTTATACGAAAGGGAGGGAGAAAGCGATAACAGCAAAGGAGCTGAAGATGTCCGGCCACCATCCGTAGGTGTAATGACCACAGCCCCAGGCAGAAAAAAAAAAAAAAAAAAAAAGTGAAGGCTAATTCCCCGCCCCACCCCTTTCAGCATTGCCTGGACTTGCTGCTCATTTCTAACAATTAGAATGTGGCCTAAATGTCAGGGTGTGACTTCCATGGATTTGGTCATAAAAGACACAGCAGTTTCTGCCTTGCTCTCTCTTGGATCACCCACTCTGGGGGAAGTCATCTTCCATGACGACACTCAAGCAGCCTATGGAAGGGTCCATGTAGTGAGGAACTGAGGCCTCCTGCCCACAGCCATGTGAGTGCGCCATGTTGGAATTAGATCCTACAGCTTGAGTCAAGCCTTCAGATAACTGCTGCCCCTACCAACATCTAAATGGGAACCTCATGAGAGATTCTGAGCCAGACCCACCAAGCTAAGGTATTCCCAAGTTCCGCACCCACAGAGGAAATAAACATTTGTTTATTTTGTGCTGCTAAAGTTGGGGGTAATTTGTTATATAGCAATAGATAACTAATAAACACAGCAAGGAACTGACCACAAACCAGAAAGTCAAGATTAAGAGAGGAGGGAAGAGAAATAAGGGTTTGAATGAAATAAAAGTTTGAATGAAATAAGGGTCTGAATTTTCCCCTCTCAGACCACTCAATAGACAAGATGGCCCCCTGGCCTTGGAGAAAAATGGATGCTCGACCCCACATAAGTTCCCAGTCACCCTGGCTTTCTGCTAGACTTTACTTTTTCAGATGACCTCAGCAAAATATCTTGAAGATATTGACTTAGGTTAAAGAAATCTTCAACTAGCCCCTTTCCACTTTGCAATCTCTGTTTAGAAAAGAATGGTTGGTCTCAACAGGGACAGATACAGGGGATATCCGTTTAGGTGGCCACTAAGCTACCCACAATTCTTGGCAAAGTCCAAAAAAAGTCAAGCAGGGTGGAGCGCTCTGAATAACCTTCCCCTGGTGGTGGGAGTAAACCATAGAAACACACTGGTAACCACAGCAACAGCAAAGGTATTGCCTGCTCACCATGGATGTGCTGAGAACTCTGTGGACCATTTTACAACTATTCCCTCATTCACTCCAGGAGGTGCCTACGACAGAGGGACCATCACCACCCCATTCTGTTGATGAGTAAACTGAAACACGGAGAGGTGTTAGTATCAGAGCCATGAATAGGACCAATCCCCAAGATTTCCAACCCTGAGCTACAACCTCTCCCCCGCACTGTTTCTTAAGATTTATTAGCTCCCAGCAGTAAAATTAAGTGGCTCTTCCAAAGCTAAGGTGACCCACATACTAAAAATCCTTCCATCTGTCTAGTCTCTACGAGGAATGGACAGCTCAGGAAGACTGGCCATTACCTCCCTTCCCCATCTAAAATTATTGCCTGGATGACCTGAGAAACACACTCCCAGAGGTAGAATCATCCAAGCTATAATCTACCCACCAAAACATAAAATTCCTTCGTTTGCAACTACAAAGTACTATTGCTGAACTAAACAGTTGAGAGGATATTCATGGTTTGTATTCCTCTTGGAGCCCCAGATCTCTCTACCGTAACACAGAACTGGGCTAAAAGATGCTGCTGTGCATTCTGTTGAATCACAAGCAAAGATTGCCATTCCTTCCAGTTGTGGTTTCCCCACAGCCGTGGGGCGGGGCAGCAGAACAGGTTTTTCTCAATTTCTTTCATCCCGCAGCTTGCCAGCCACTCTGCTTCTCCACCCCTCACCCCACATCAGCTCACATGCAGAGCGCACGCTAAGCTCACAGAACTAAACAAAATTAGGCCACAGAGAGACTTCGGTCCATCACCCCACCACCCACTCCCACCAGCTCCCCCAGAGCACTTTTATTTCTCTTTTACTTTGGTTGCCATGGGAATCCGTACTTGGGAGGGGGACGCGGATGGAATGTATCATGAGCAGATGGCTGTGATGTGAGCAGGAAGAGGCAGAGGACCAGCCCCAGAATACAGGGCTGAGCCAACACATGTTTTGCAGGGACAGTGTCACCTCTGCGGGTATTTGGAAGCCTGTGGCAGGTGCTGTCCCTGCTCTGGGCTCAAATCACAGACGCGGTGGAGCAGCGCTCAGACCTACCTCCAGGGGCGCATCGAAAGGCTCCACCTCGACCTCTGTTGAGTTGGTTTTGTCTGAAGCCTGCTGGGCTTTTCCATCAGTTTTGTCGCCCTTGTCTTTACTTGAGCCTTTGGAAGACTTGGAGTCTTTGTCCTTTGAAGACAGCTTGAGCTCCTTGGAGAATTTAAACTCCTGTGTCCCTCCCGAGAGGATCTCCACAGCAATCTCCACCAAAATTCTGCCCCTGAACGACACGCCTTCTCTGAAACCTTCATTCAATTCCTGGTAGTCTTCCATCAGACTTTGGTTCCTGGGTGAGCCATACAGGTTAATCCAGGCAGGTCCGAATGTGGGTAGAAAGCCTGTAAAGATACCAAGCTTTAGTTGCCTAGTTATGCTTTCAAGCTGGCTATTTTTTGCTTTATGAAAATTGTGCACATTCATTTAGAAATGTAAAATATAAAGAAAAGACAAGAGAAAATATTTACAGAATATCCTGTCACGGGGAGTTCCCTGGTTGCCTAGTGGTTAGGATTCTTGGCTTTCACTGCCATGGCCCAGGTTCAATCCCTGGTTGGGAAACTGAGATCCTGCACGTTTTTGGCGTGGCCAAAAAACAAAGCAAAACAAAACCAAAAAGAATATCCCGGACTTCCCTGGTGGCACAGTGGTTTGATCCCTGGTCCGGGAAGATCCCACATGCCGCGGAGCAACAAAGCCCGTGTGCCACAACTACTGAGCCTGTGCTCTAGAGCCCGCGAGCCACAGCTACCGAGCCCGCGTGCCACAACCACTGAAGCCCATGTGCCTCAACTACTGAAGCCCGCGTGCCTAGAGCCCGTGCTCCACAACAAGAGAAACCACTGCAATGAGAAGCCTGCACACCGCAACGAAGAGTAGTCCTCGCTTGCCGCAACTAGAGAAAGCCCGTGCGCAGCAACAAAGACCCAGTGCAGCCCAAAATAAATAAATTAATTAATTAAAAAAAAAAGAATATCCCATCACCAAAAGCCATGACCACCATTTTGCTACAGTCCTTTCTAGTCTTTCTTCCATGCATGTCTACGCTTGTCCACAATTGTAGTAAGACTATGAATGCCAACTTGCTTCCTCATCTGTTCACTCACTGATCAAACATTTATTGACTCCTAACATGTGCCAGGCATCATGGTAGACACAAAACACAGAGCCCAGTAGAGAATAAAGCAGATACAAACATTAAACAAATAAATATTCACATCACAATACAAATGCTATGAAGGAGACATAGCTTGGGCAGCAAGGACAAAAAACAGGTTGGTGTGGCGTGGAGAGAGGAGTTAGGCAGAGAGAGAGGAGAGAGAGTTCTGGGCAGAGGGAAGAGCACATAGCAGTTGGAAAGGGGCTTGGAGATAGAAGGAACTGGAAGAGAAAGCCAATGTGGCTGGAGTCCAGAGAGTGAGCCGGTGAGAAGAGTTTGGAGAGGTGAGCGGGTCTCGGGAGGCTTGATAAGGATTTTGGACTGTATCCTAGAAATTATGGGAATATTTTAGAGGGGTTTAAGCAAAGATGTGACCTAACAGGTTGTGCGTTTTTAAGATCACCCCGGTTGCTATGTGATGGGTTCTAAGGACAGATGTGGGCCGCCATACGTAAAATGGGTAACCAACAAGGACCTACTGTACAGCACAGGGGACTCTGCTCAATGTTATGTAACAACCTAAATGGGAAAAGAATTTTAAAAAGAATAGATACATGTATATGTATAACTGAATCACTTTGTAGTACACCTGAAACTAACCCAACATTGTTAACTAACTATACTCTGATATAAAATAAAAAGTTAAAAAACAACTAAATAAAGTGCTAGGGCAAGTCCCGAATCAGTTATCTTCAAAGGTGGAAACAGAAGTCCATGCTGGTTTGATTTTGTTTTGTTTTGTGTTTTCTTTTGCTTTCGTTTAGTTTCCTGTTTTAGTACCATGTTTTTGTCAAGACTTTAGCTTTTCCCCTAAAATAGAAATAAGTAAATAAATAAATATTAAAAAAAAAGAATGAATGTGGGCACACTGGTTCAAGCACCACTTCTCCATCAAAACTCAAGACGTGGGCTTCCCTGGTGGCGCAGTGGTTAAGAATCCGCCTGCCAATGCAGGGAACATGGGTTCGAGCCCTGGCCCTGGAAGATCCCACATGCCACGGGGCAACTAAGCCTGTGCACCACAACTACTGAGCCTGCGCTCTAGAGCCCGCAAGCCACAACTACTGAAGCCCCTGCACCTAGAGCCCGTGCTTGGCAACAAGAGAAGCCACCGCAACGAGAAGCCCGCGCACTGCAACGAAGAGTAGCCCCTGCTCACTGCAACTAGACAAACCCCGCGCACAGCAACGAAGACCCAACACAGCTATAAATAAATAAAATAAATAAATTTTTAAAATTTTATATTAAAAAAAAAACTGAAGACAGGGGTGGCTTGGACCAGGGCGATGGTAGTGGAGATTGAGATATGTTCTAAATGTAGAACTGAAAAGATCTGGTGATCTTAACTTACTCTTAGCATAAGTAGTGTCCCTTCTTAATACAGAGCATCTGGGAAGATATACAGTGTCTATGCAAACATCTCTTTGACAACAGAATATTCCATTTTGACAGGCAGTATATAGCATGGTGGTCCTGAGCTTGACTGCCTGGGTTCAAATCTCAACTCTCAGGTCTGCCATTTTCAAGCTGTGGAAGTTTTTTAACTTCCCAATGCCATGGTTTCCTCAACTGTAAAATGGGGGTGCTAATAGTACCTATCTCACCTATCAGGATTAAAAGAGATAATATCAAGTGCCTCACACAAGTCTTTAAGAGATGTCTAGAATACTAGCCATTACTCTTAATAAGTATATATATCATAATTTGCTTAACAATCCCCCCGCTTTTTGATGAGGAAAAGTTTCCATATGCTTTACTGTTATCAATAGTTTTATGCCTGAAAACTTCCTCACTCCATCCCCCCCCCGTCCCCCTCCCATGGCCCCCGATGTCTACTTTTAAACCATTGTTATACATCTCCTTGAACCCATCAAGATGTTTCTGAAAAGTTCTGGGTAACGTGTTTGTTTGTTTTTTAATTAATTTATTTTTGGCTGCGTTGGTTCTTCGTTGCTGTGCGTGGGCTTTCTCTAGTTGCAGTGCGCAGGCTTCTCATTGCGGTGGCTTCTCTTGTTGTGGAGCATGGGCTCTAGGTGCGTGGGCTTCAGCAGTTGCAGCACGCAGGCTCAGTAGTTGTGGCTCGCAGGCTTAGTTGCTCTGAGACATGTGAATCTACCCAGAACAGGGCTCGAACCTGTGTCCCCTGCATTGGCAGGTGGATACTTAACCACTGCGCCACCAGGGAAGTCTGTGGGTAACATGTTTATGTCTGGTTGAGAAATCCTGTAGGTGGACAGAGTGTGCTTTCTGCATAAAGAAATCCTGTGGCAAATCCTCCCACATCATGAGTATTTAAACAGTAGATATTTATTAAGGCCTTTCTATGGTGTCACTCTGTGCAGGGCACAAAAATGTGTAAATCTTGTTCTCTGCTAAAGCCAAGCCTTCAGTATAATGTGTATGTGTGTGTATATATATATACACACACACACAAATATATACATACACACAAACATACACACATATACACAAATATATACATTGATCAATGCAAATTTGTAATGCAGAGGAGACTGCATCGGGATTTTAAAAAGGGAAGGTAGATGGGGGTATTTAGGGAATTAACAGCTATTAATTTAGGTTTTATAAATAAAGAGCTTTATCTTGGGTGAAAACTCCTTTGCCTGACTCAGTAGATTAGCTGGGACTCTCCATTCTTGCCCTGGCTCTCTGACTGCAGTCAGCGGGACCTCCCTGAAATACTCATGCTCTTGAGTTCCCATTGTGAGTTGAGGGCACCATATTTTTTGGACCATTTAAACATGTAAAAACCGGGACTTCCCTGGTGGCACAGGGGTTAAGAATCTGCCTGCCAATGCAGGAGACACGGGTTCGAGCCCTGGTCTGGGAACATCCCACATTCCATGGAGCAAGTAAGCCTGTGTGCCACAACTACAGAGCCTGCACTCTAGAGCCCGCGAACCACAACTACTGAGCCCACGTGTCACAACTACTGAAGCCCACACGTCTAGAGCCCGTGCTCCACAGCAAGAGAAGCCACTGCAATGAGAAGTCCTCACACCGCAACGAAGAGTAGCCTCTGCTCGCTGCAACCAGAGAAAGCCCGCGCGCAGCAACAAAGACCCAACGCAGCCAAAAGTAAAAATAAATAATTAATTAATTTTAAAAAGTAAATAAATAAACACGTAAAAACCATTCTTAGCTTGTGAACCATACAAAAATACGTGGTAGTCCAGATGTGGTCCATGGATCACAGTTTGCCAACCTCTTATCTAATCTAAACTCTTCATTTTTCAATTAAGAAACCTAAGGCCCAGAGAGGGGGAGTGACTTCCTCAAGGACACACAGCAATGTTCCTGGAAGACATGGGACAGGGAACAAGCCTCGTGGTTCCCAGAGTCTGGCTCTGTTCACCACCCTGAACCAACCCAAGGCACAGACCACACAGAGGATAGAAGGTGCCTAAGACGTTGCCTGCTCCAACCCTCTCTTTCTGAAGATGAAGGCTCTAAATCAATCATTTGGAGACCCTATCTCCAAGTCAGACATGTGCGGCCTTACCTTTATCTCCATCCTGTTCATTGGAGATTTTCTTCAGGTCGATGAAATGCGTTGCCAGCACTGTATCATTCACGCTGCCTTCGTCCCATACCTGGATTTTCACCCTCCGACACAAGGGAGGGAACATTTCCTTGAAGACCACCTGTTCGTGCCACACAGGATCGGCACAGTTCTTCTGCACCGTGGTTCGCCCCTAAAAACAAAGCCAGGAAAATGTGAGCCACGGAAGGAAATGAAAGGGGCCCTTGACCGACTAAAGAAAACTCTTCACGCCAGCTGGAAATATAAAGTGAGTTGTCAAAAATAATGAACCTGATTCCACCGACACCCATGAAAATCAGTTACACCCCATGAACATTACTGATGTCCTATTCTGTGCCAGACACTGTGCTGGGCATCTGACACAAAGGTGAGTTGTCACAGGTCCTGCCCTCAGGAAGTTCTCATCATCCACTGGGTTGGGGTGAACTTGACACCTGTGTATGAAGGAGTGCCATACATCTCCAGGATTGCAGCAGATATAGTTAGAGCCTGACTTCATGTTTTATAAAAGTTGGACCTGGTGCAAATCCCTTCCCTAGTCTGGACCTCAGTTTCCTCGTCATACAATGGAGGTGGTGTCCTATATGGGGGTTATATATGTCCTATATATGCCAATGGGGTCCAAGATAGAAATAGTCCAAGGTTCACCCTGCCAATGGGAGGGGCCGGGTGGAGACAACATGTGTGTCAGCTGAAGCTTCCAAGTCCAGCCAACCAGGATTAAGCTCTGACCATGTGCCCAGGTCCTAGCACTTCCAATGGCTCTTGAGCAGGGAACAGCTGGGAACAGGGATGTCCAGGCTTACACAGGACAAGGACTAGCTGGGTAGATCGTAGAGCAGATTGAAAGGGAGGTGGTAATCCTCTGGGGGCTGGGGACTGGGCAACAGCTCAGAGAAGCAGCCAGAGGTGAGGAAGGCCTGCCTGCCTGGGTGCTGAACCGTGATCTTCCCCTCACTTCTCTCCACGAGCTCCAATGGTAAGGGAGTGGGTGACCCTCCACTACTTTCCTGCCATGCGATGTAAAGCCTTTTTGTGACAAGCTTCCTCTCTCTGGGCACTTCCTAATTTTGATTTTAACTTAATGTCATTTGACCAGCAGTGCCCTGGGTAAAGAGCAAGATTCCAGTCCAGGCCTGCCAGGATTGGGGATGACCCTTCCTCACCGTCTGTCCAGCAAAGGAGACCTCCACAAAGGGATCCACGAGGTCCTTACTGTCACTCACAAAGGCTTTGGTGATGTTCGCCATGATGCTGGAGTTCATTTTGGGCAACCCTTCAGCTCTGTAGAGTCTCACGTAGAATCTGGCCCAGGGTCTCTCTGATGGAAACCCTTGTGGGATCAAAAGATTCCTTGGGTGGGGGGACAAAAATAAGACATAAAAAAAGCTTTCTCACTTGAAAGAGTAGAGAGGAAAGGTAGAGGCAATTTGGAGGCAGAAAGAAGAATTCTGATATAGGAGAAAAATCTGAAAAGATAGGATTCATCACTAAAATGAGTTTTCTTTCTAGTGTAGATGACAGCACAGGGTATGAATAGAGTGAATGCAGTACTCCAATAAAAATTAATTTTAAAAAAATAGAGTGAATGCAAACCTGTTCAGGTCCTGGAATTAAAGAATAAACACTTAGAAGAGGCGTATAAAGTCTTCCCATTTTACAAGCTAGTGGCTGAAATTATTCTTCCTTCAAAGAAAAATCAACTAAATTCAGATCAATAGGATAGGCTCAGGAATAGCTTATCTATTATGGGTTATTATAGGAAGACAGGCTGTTCTTGTCCGAGAAGCTGACCTCCCAAAGGATAGTGATGCCTTTGATAAGACACATCATGGTGCCTCTGATAGAGCAGAATCCCCACTGGACAGGCCTTGAACTTGGAAGTTCTCATGAACCCGTAAGGAAAGGGAGAAGAAAGAGACATGGAAACTGGGACATATCATTTCTCTTGCATGCTCGATGGACCTGTCTCACTTTTCTATTTGCTCCTTGGCATCAGAGGTTTTGGGATTGCGCGTTAAGACATCTCCTTTCCCAGTCACGCTGATGTCACACTTCAGGTACCCCCTCGTGCCCGTCCTGATGTTGCCGGGGTCCATTAGCAGGACCCACTTGTCGGAGAACTGATGACCTGCAAAACGTCCTGACAGATCAGATATCCTGCACCGATGCACCCCGACACTCCATCCAGTTCTCTTCCAACCCGAAGCCTCCCCACCGTCTACTCCCCAGGAGGGGCCAGCTCAGCACAGTTATTTCCAAGTCTCGTGGGGCCTCTCTCTCCTCCTTTCCTTCCTGTCCACTCTTCCTACCCAGTTCTCCATCTTTTTCTCCAAACTGCCACAGGCAGTTGGGAAGCCTTCAACGTAGTGGAAATTGCCTGGACGGGAGTCTAGCTTTGACTGGAGAGGAGGACATTAATGCAGTGTAGAAGCCACACATCATTTCACAGGCCATGAACGCTGCTCATGGATCTTTTTGTTTGACCTACACGGTGAACCCAAACTTCAAATCTCTTACAAAATCTAGACTTCAGGCTTACCTTTTTAAAAGCTGGCCACGCGGAGCCCACATTTCCACACGACTGTAGGTGGTAAGGAGTTGAGTAGATGCTACTCCTTCCACAGGGGTTGTGAGCCCCGCCCCCCATTTCCCATAGCCTCCGTCACCCCTGACTGCATTAAACCCAGCCCACTGCACTCAGCGATGCTCACTGCCTGGCCCCCTTGGGGTCATGTGAGTTGGAATCACTGTTGAAGAGAAGGGGCCTTTCATGAGAAGATCTATGTGTGTTGTTGGTTCTGTTACTTATTAGCTCTTGACCTTGGACAAACTACCTAGCTCCTCTGACAAATCAGGGATAATAATAATAATTACAGCAAACCCACGTATGGCATATCACAGTCATTATTCTGTGCTAGATCCTATAAAGTGCTTATGTATACATTCTTATGCATATATTCACTTACATATATATTCACTTAATCCTCCAACAACCCTATAAGGAGGTGCTATTTTATCCCCATTTTTACAGATGAGGAAACGGCAGCACAGAGAAGTCAAGTTATTAACCCAAGGCTGCACAGCAAGGAAAGAGCAGAGCGGAATTTGAAGCCAGGCAGTCTGGCCCCAGAGTCCATATTCTTAACTTCTACACACTTCCAACTTTCCTTCTTGTGTCTCGCAGCAGTAAATTGGACAGAATTTGTGAAAAAAAAACTTTAAACTGCTCGGACGTATGAACATATAAGATATTTGCATCATTAGATTGTGAACTTAGAGTAAAAGAGCCACATGTCTTGCTCCACTTTGTAAAACTGGTGCTCAGTGTTACTGAATAAATGGATACATGGAAGAACGCATAAACTAACTGACCTTCGGTAAGAGAAGAGTAACAGAGAGAGATTGGGAGGCCATGCTTTCTCACCAGGTTGGTTGTACACGGTCCCCAGGTCCACTTTGAAGGAGCCGATCAGTACACCTCCTATCAGCTTGTGGTGAAAGACCTGGGGACAGATGGAGCGGTGAGTCCGACAACACTAGATTTCTCCTTGAGGATAAATCTGTGAAATGGGTTCATGACAAACCCTTTCAAAGAGGATTCTAGGCCTTGAACCTTGTCTGGCCTTCACACTTATCTGGAGCACAGTGACGTTTGGTTATCAAACCTCAGGGCTGGCCGTACAGGGCATCCAAAGTATTGCAGCTGTACCTCATCTCCTAGCAGGATTTTAGCTAATTTTCTATTGAAGGACACCTATCAAACCTCACTGCCTAAAACGTGTTTTTTTGCTTGTTTTTCTGTTTGTTTGTTTGTAGCCAAAATGAACTCTAGGGCAGCCCACTCTTCAAACCCATCTCTGCCTCTTGAAATGCTATCCATCTTTAAATGCCTAGAGCAAATGCTGCTTCCTCCAAGCAGCCCTCCCTGATCCTCCTCAGATGAAAGTATTCCCTTTCTCTCCTAAAATCCCACAACACTTTGCTCACAACTTTCTCAGAGAACTCATCCTTATTGCCTTGAGAAGTTTGGGACACGTACAATAGCCAGAACAAAGGAGGCTGTCATCCTCAATATTTTGTCTGATTACAAGTCAGCAGAGTGCCTGGCTGGTTACAGCAGCACATTTCTATGTTAATGCTATTAAGATTAGGAAGTTCTAAAGGAAGCTGGCAGAGCTGGGCCTGGGTCCAGAAGTCACACTTCATGAAAAACTGCTGAAGAATCAGGAGTAGTTTAACTTTTTTTTTTTGCAGTACGCGGGCCTCTCACTGCTGTGGCCTCTCCCGCTGCGGAGCACAGGCTCCGGACGTGCAGGCTCAGCGGCCATGGCTCACGGGCCCAGCCGCTCCGCGGCACGTGGGATCTTCCCGGACCGGGGCACGAACCCGCGTCCCCTGCATCGGCAGACGGACTCTCAACCACTGCGCCACCAGGGAAGCCCCCAGTAGTTTAACTTTTAACCCAGAAAAGAGAAAACTGAGAGTGTGGAAGAAGAGCAATGGTAACTCAAGTGTCTTCAACACTTGAAAATACTGCCATCCAGAAGGGGGAGGAGGATCCCTGTGTGGTTCCCAAGCTACAGGAAGAGAGATTTCAGCTCACTATAAAGGCAATTTTTATAACAGAACTTCCCAGCAATGGAATGGGCTACTCTAGGAGTAGTGACCTCCCCATCTCTGGATATAATCAAGTAGTGCCCAAGAACCCCATGTCATGTGTCATGGAGGTGGTGGCGAGGGATTCCTACGCCAGCTGGAAGTTGGACTAGATGGTCTCTGAGGCTTCCTTCTAACTGTGAAATTCTATGAGTTCCTTGATTCAAGTACAGTTTCCTACTTTCTTCTACCCACCACATGGCCTTGTTCATAATAAACACTCAATAAACATTCAGTGAGTTAATGAGTGATTGACTAATTGATGGATGAGTGAGAGACTTTTGTAGCTTCTGAACAGATCCTTTTGAAAGAGGCAGTAAGAAAAAAAACATACAATTGATTTCAAAAAATGAAGAAAATGAGAGCCCTTCCCAGCTCCCTTCCTACTCTTCCTCCCTTGTCCAAAGTTTGCAAGGGTGTTAGAGAACAAAGGGGAAGTAAGGACAGTTTGGCTTCAGTTGAGGAGCTATTCAAATCCACAGGCACAAAACTCACCTCAAACCCCTCATGCTTAGAGCTGCTACTGCAGCTTCCCAAAGCCCTGAGCAGGAACACAAGCCTAGGGCTTCCCTGGCAGCGCAGTGGTTGAGAGTCTGCCTGCCGATGCAGGGGACCTGGGTTCGTGCCCCGGTCCAGGAAGATCCCACATGCCGCGGAGCGGCTGGGCCCGTGAGCCGTGGCCGCTGAGCCTGCACGTCCGGAGCCTGTGCTCCGCAACGGGAGAGGCCACAGCAGTGAGAGGCCCGCGTACTGCAAAAAAAAAAAAAAAAAAAGAACACGAGCCTAACTCAAGCTCTCTTCTCAGATCAAAGGCATCTTGGTCCCTATGGGCATAATGAGCCAGAGCCCCAGATGGATATTTAAATAACAGGAGGCCTCCTCACATCATCCACCCAGTGTGAGCACCAGGCAATGCTGGTGTGGTCAAGCATTAGGTTACAAGAACAAGGGCATCTCACACACAGAGAGAAGGGGGCCCTGCATGCCTGGGGCCACTGTCAAGGGAAGACGGTCTTTGGCACCACCAGGGTCTGCTACAGGCTGGCGGTCCCAACAGCATTTGCTTACAGCACTGGCCCCCTTCTCCCACATGGAATTTTTTCTGGACATGCTAACTTTTGGTTCATGGACTAACAGAAAACTTATATTAAACACTCCCTTTTCAAGGGTAGTTTTCCCTTTAAAATCTTCAGTCTCTATCCCCAAGTGTCTTTTAGGGAGACCAAAGTATTCTTTTCTTCCAAGTGAGAAGAACAGAGATAGGCAATACCAGCTTTGATCCTCTGCTAAAAATCCACTTGCCCCGCAGAGAGTCATGACCCTTGTCTGTGATGCCATATAAAACCTAGCTATTGGATTTCCCTGGTGGTGCAGTGGTTGAGAATCCTCCTGCCAATGCAGGGGACATGGGTTCCATCCCTGGTCCAGGAAGATCCCACATGCCACGGAGCAGCTAATCCCATACTCCACAGCTACTGAGCCTGCGCTCCAGAGCCTGCGAGCCACAACTACTGAGCCCACGTGCCACAACTACTGAAGCACACGCACAAAGAGCTGTGCTCCGCAGCAAGAGAAGTCACTGCAATGAGAAGCCCCGCACCTCAACGAAGAGTAGCCCCCACTCGCTGCAACTAGAGAAAGCCCACACACAGCAACAAAGACCCAACACAGCCTAAAATTAATTAATTAAAAAAAAAACTAGCTATTAACTATTCATTTGCACTCTAGACAGTCCCCTAGGAGCCTGTTATAAAGCCGATCCCACAAACAGGTGGTTGCCTGAGTGATGCAATGAGACATCCTGGGCAATGTCCCAGGTCCTGAAATATCTTCTCACCACCTGTCATCACGCCTGAAATTCACGTGTGAAGAATGTTTGGCTCTGAGTGACTTTTCATTCCTCAAGAGTCACATTCTTCAAGTACCCCCGGGAAAGAGAATATCATGATTCCACTATCACCTAAGCCTTAAAGCACGACTTATATATAATATGCATACATATAATGTAATGTAATATAATATAGTATAATTTATATAATAGAGATTGAGTGGGTGATAATGACAGGCAAGGAAGTCTTCAAGACAAGTTTTGCCATCTTCATAACTCTGATCAGGGTTGGTGTCACTGTTCAAAACATTTCCTCATTCTCCGCACGTCTTACGTTGTCACATAAAGTAGGAATTCTGTTCTTTCAGAATTTATTGGAAAGAGAGCACCTACCCTTCAAGCCCCCTGCCCATCCCCACCACTTTAAGGCATACACACCCCCACTGTGCTCTTCATGGGAGAAGCAGAGATTTCTCAGGCTGGTGAGATGGATGCAATGAGCCATCCGCAGCTCTCTGTTCCTTTACTGAGTGGTGTGATGTGAAGTTGGCAGTGATCCCGGTTGCCCTGCCCTACCCTCATTTGGACTAATATGGCTTCAACACGGGCACTTTCCTTCTCATTCCTGCCCTCTACATGGTGGGCCAACCTAGTAAGGCACCTGTGTGGACCAGGAAGCTCTCTCCATCTCTACTCCTCAGACTTGATCTGTGGAGACAGGAAATCGCCCGGCAGGGCTGAGGAAGGCTCTTCGTAGCCGACCCAACTCCCCGTGGGCAGGTCCTGATGTTTACACTCAGAGGCAACTATTAAGACTCCAAATGGCAACCACTTACTCCAAATCACATTTTCCGACTCAGCATTATTGATATATTGGGTTGCTTCCTGCTTCTTGTTCCTATTTCTCTATTTATTACCAGATAGGAGGGGAATGGGGGGTGTGACTAATTATTATTAGCATGGCTATCACCCCAAGAGAGAAATACTAACATTTGCTTGATAAAAAGAAAGAAATCAACTCAAAATGGCAATCTATTAAGATGTCATTTATATTTCACATATATATTTCACATTCCCACATTAGTCAGCTACACAATGGCTTGATGGTAGCTTACAACTTGCTTCCAGCAAGTATAGAACCTTTCTTGAATCTGTTTTCCTTCCCAGATGCCTCTGCACTGATTATTTCAAGTTCTATTCTGTTGGTTTCAAACTCAACAACCCACATTCACACTCCTGAATCTATTCATCCCTAAACAGACTGAGCTGCCCTAGAGAGTTCCCAAAGCCTAGAATCTCTTCCACCTCCCCTCACCCCCATCAGCAATGATATACTTACTGAGATTTTGATGATCTTGTCAAAAAGATGCAGTTGGGGCCCAATGAAGTCAAAGACAAAGTACTGGAAAACATAAAGTTCATTCTGACCATAAATTCCTGGCTTGCATGTAAGGACTCTGTTCTTGGAATAGATTTAGATCTGCATTTTTCTAACATATTGCTGCAAGATTCTCAATGACATAACTGTATCATCAATTGACTGGCCCTCCCCTACTGAAAGTCATTTAATTTGTTGTCAATTTTTTTCAAATAGAAAAAGAAAGAGTATCACCAATTATATCTTCACACAACATATTTGTAAGTTTTCCTCTAAAATGAACATGAGAATTAGAATTGTTGGGTCATGGCCTGTGTGCCTGTAAATTTTTAGTAGCTAGCATAAAATTTTTTTCCAAAGGAGCTAAGCCATTTTACATTCCCACTGGCAGCATATGAAAATAGCCATTCCCTTGCCAACCCTTGAATTTTCAATTCTTTTACATTTATCTACCTATCTATCTATCTATCTATCTATCTATCTACCTATCTATCTATTTATTTGTTGCCTATATATAATGATGAGTGAAAGTATATCACAGTGTGGTTTTAATTTGGAGTGAACTTGATTAAAATTTGATTTTCTCAGGATTTTTCAGCTTCAAACATCCCTGCGAAATTCCCAAGATTGACCAGGGAAAGAATAAAAAGAAATTATGGGTAAGGGAGATTTCTAATTTGAGGAAAGCAATTGAATTCTAGAGTTGAAGAAAATATATAGACTGCTCTCCATATTCTACAGTTAAAAAGACTGAAGATGAAAGAATTTAAAAGACATGCCTGGAGTCATATAGCTAGTTATCGCGGGGCTGGGGACCAAAGCTGAGTTCTCCTGAAGTTACTATAAAAGGAATTCAAGTGCTAGATGTTTCACAATTGGAACTTTATTGAGTGCCTCCCAAATGTGAGGTAGGAGGCTCCTCATGTAGAAAACTGGTGCAGTGCTTTGCTGTGGGTTGTGTGTTTTGAGGACTGATGGGGTTGGGGGAGGCCGGTAGGAAGTTGTTTCATGGATTGTTTTGTGTTTGAGCTGCAAGATGGAGGAAGGACACAAGGACATTAGACACGAAGATGACAGCAGTAGGAAAGGGAGAAGTGACCACTTACAGCCTGCTGTTAAAGGCAACACAGAAAAACCAAAACGTGAAAGCTGAAAGATGTCATCATATACCATAATAAGAGACGTTCAAAATGGCCGTCCTTCAATATCAATGAAAAGTTACGTTATGTTCCGTGTCTCCTGTTTAAGAGAACAGGAAACTATGTATAACATTTCAGGAAGTTTTTCATATATATGTTCAACCTTTTTAAGAGCTTCGGTGTTCAGAATTTCTTTTATGTCCAAAACACTTGCATGAAGTTCTTCATTCTCTGGTGTATGACAATGTGGTCATATCAAATTTTAAATGCATATCCTCTTCACCCTAGTTATGCCATTTAAATATCATTATAAGTAGTATCCGAAGGCTGGAAAAAATTTTAATATCCATCGAGAGATTGGTTTAGTAAATTATAATATATCAATGCAATGGAAAACTCTACAGCAAAGAAGGGAAAATGAGATTGAACTATATGTCTTTTATATATATATATATATATATATATATATATATATATATATATATATATATATATATTTAT